GGACATCTTTTCCTGGCTGTGAGCCCAAGGTGCAGATGGGGAGCCACAAAGCTGGGTGTCCAGGCCCTAACGAGAGGCTGCAGGCCCCAGCACATTCTTGTTAAATACGCCATTTGGTCTGGGCGGTTGACTCTCAATAGTGTCATGTGTCACAAATGGTGTCAAATTCTGGGTGGTCCATTTGCTAGAGGTGGGAAGGGAAGGAAGAGGAGAAAACAGTGTCCCAAGGTCAGTGAGGGAGTGCACCTCCTCCTGGCACCATCACAAGGGTCACGGCCATCCCAAGGAGGTGCCCTTAAAAGTGTACTGGCTGAGCCTCCTGGGAGAAGTTTCCTGGGCCCTGAGATGACATATGTCCAAGTTGGAAGAAACACTGCCCTATGGCCTCAATTCATAGTTAAATTTCCAGGCTCCAAAAGTCTACAGGTCCCTGATATGGCTCACAGGGGGCTAGGGACAGAGCTAAGGTGGGATTCACATGATTCATCCCTTTCTTTAATCCTACCCTGCCGCCAGCCAACTGGAGGACCCAAGGGGAGGCTGGAGACCTGCCCATGAGCCCTGTGCAAGCCACCCATGGGAGCACCTGGGATGGGGACCCAGGGCCACAGTGGAAATGCCATGATATTGACAAGGGCCATACCCAAAGAAGGCCTCAGGCTACACAAACCCCACCCAAGAGCCAGCTGAGGTGGGCCCTGGTCTTCTGCACAGTTGACAAAAGCAGCAGCTGGCAGGGACTGGCAGGGCGAGGACAAGGGGCATCCCAGGAGAGCGCATCAGGCCCTCCCTTGTTCACAGTAGCACCTTCCGTTCAGCCAGGCAGAGGGGTAGTAGGAGTCTTCTAGGACCCTAAGGAACCTTGTGGGTCGCAGGCTCAGCCCTCCTGGGGCCAGTAGCCCAGCACTCTCAAATCTCAAAGCAGTGGCCACGGTGGGCTGGGTTTTGCCCAAAGCTGTCATGGCCTCAGGTCCCTCGGAGCTGCAGAGCAGATACTCTTGCCCCCCAGGGTGCAGGACAGAAGCTTGACCTGCTGGGCTTCCTGGGGTGGAGGGTCCTGGCTCTGGAGACAGGAACAGCCTCTCCTTGGCAGAAACCCTTAGGGCCTCAGGAGACCAAGCGCCCCAGGTTTGATCCTGGAAGTATCTTTCTCTGGAGCTCTACTCTCACTTCCAAATCTCATGTCAATAGCCCCTCACATTTCCACCTTCCTCTCTCAGGTCTAGTCCTAATCCTGGGGCTCTGCACATCTCACTGTGCCGACCGAGAGCAAGCCCCAGATACTTTTGGGGCCTGGCTCATACCCTGCCGGGTCATTGTCAAGGCTGAATCGCCCCTTGATCCTTAGAAAGAATGAGATTCAAGGAGCCAGCACAGCAGCCAAACCCCCGAATGATCCTTCAGCTAGCCAGAAGAGGGCCCTCAGGGAAGGCCATGGAAATGAAGGGACCAGAGAGCTGTCAGATGCCAGGGACCCTTTGAGGGCTCAGGGTGAGACCCAGCTAGTGACTCAGAGTTCCAGCTAAGAGCCCATGGTCTTTGCAAATAGAGGTAGCCAGCCCAGCCACACCATCCTCTCCCCCTTCATCTTCTTTGTAACAGCCAAAGGCCATATCATTCCGATCCAGCCCCAGGCAGGCCTGGCCTAGCAAGGCAGCCCAGACAGTCAGTCCAGCATAGCCACCACCCTCCTGCCTTTGTGACGTCACAGCCTGGTTGGGTGTGGCTGCGCATGGACCCTTCCAGGCCCCATGAGGTTCCTGTATCAAGAGCTGCAAAGGCAAAGGGATTGGCCTCCTGGGCAGAAATGGGCCAAAAGGGAGGCCCCTCTGGAACAGCTTGGGTCTTGGAGAGGTGGAAATGAGACCCACAATTCTGACCCAATGCCATGCAACTGATTTCCTCCATATACTAACAGGGCAGCAGAAGTGGGAGACGGCCTCCCCGATCAGAGGCAGCCGATTTCCTCCATATACTAACAGGGCAGCAGAAGTGGGAGACGGCCTCCCGATCAGAGGCAGTTTCCAGCCAGCTTCCTGGGATGGCCACACAGGAATCACTCCACACACCACCCCTGAGAAGCAGAACCACAGGGAAACCTCTTGTCCCTCTGGAAACTCAGGTACAATCAGTTCAGCCCTTGAAGGAAGGACCTTGAAACATTACAGCCTGAAGAACAAGAGGGTGAAACTGTGGAGCCTCAGCATCTTCTTCTACCCAGAGCATGCCCAAGTTGTACCCTGAGGCATCCATCAGCATCCAGAACTTCAATCCAGTGGGAAACTGGGGGACCTCTTGACCCCACCGCCTTGGTAACATCAGAAATCTGAGGAACACCTCTCCAGCAAGACAACAGGCTTCAACTGAAGCCCTCTTCTCAAGCCACACTAAAACAAGAACCAACCCCAGCCAAGGGTGCTCCTCTCTGCCCACAGGCCCCTCTTCCAGCCTGTTCCACATGCAGGCCTGCACAGCGGGGGTCCCTGTTGGGGTTGTGTGCTTGGGGAAAGTCACCACCCCAAGCCTCTATTTCCTTGGAAGTCAGACAGGGATGGGGATGCTGACTTCCCTGTGGTGAGCCTGACTCCCCACCCTCACTCCAGCTCTCCGGCTCTGGAGTGGAAATTGGGCCCTTCTCAAGCTCAGTCAATATCAGCCATAGATATAACAGGGCACTGGGGAGAAGATGGGGCAAGGAGAGGTCATTCAACCCATGACCTCTGACCCTCCCCAACCTGCCGCTGGCACAGCTCCTATGGGACTCCAGTTCCCTTGTTCTTTGGTGTTGGGGTGGATTTAGAGAAAGGAGTCGTGATGGCCTGTCAGAGTCCAAGTCCTGAAACAAGCATGGGGACACATGCAGAGGGAGTCCAGACATATTCCCTGCTCACTGTCCTCCCAGACACCCTCATGAGGGCCCCCAATGCCAAAGAGGGAGGAGGCCACCCCAGTCCCTCCCATCATGGACCTTTCTGGCAGCCTAGAAAGGCTAAGCCAACTCTTCCCTATGAGACCGCTTCCCCAAGCATCATCTTCAGAGGAGCAACACCTCTGTGGCTATAAAGAGCCTACGCGACTATGACCATCCCTGCCTCCCACTGGCTTTCTACAGATAGACACTTGTTCTCCTTGGAGCCGAGAACAAGCTGGATGCAGCTCACCCACTCCCAGAGACCCAGGTTGGGCACCAGGGGCCCCTTCTTCCAACCCTTAGCCCACCCCTGGAAATCTCTAGGTCTGGCTCTGAGCACCAAGATTGGCCACTCAGCTCCCACCTTCACCACCCCCGACTCACTCCCCAACACCCACCCCCTACACACACACAGCCCAGTAATCCACTTCCAAGTCCGAGTTTCCTGAGGCTCTCACTCTGAACCCTCCTCACTGCATCCTTGGGAATGCTGGAAGCCTGTGGCCTGCAAGCAGGGAGAGGCACAATTGGGTCTGTCCTCTGTTTCTCCTGCCCTCCCCCTGCCCCCCCCCAACCCTTGGCTGTTTGTCTTGTCATGTCTGGACGGGTTGAAGCGGGTGAGTGGGTGAACAGCAGAGCTGAGATATGGGTCAAGCTTGTCTCCTGGGCCAGGAGTCAGAGACATCTCCTGGGCTATCCATTTCCCTCAAACTGTCAGTTCAAAGAATGCAAGCAGAGGCTCCATTAAGCTGAGAGGGCTGGTGGGCTTTCCAGAGAGCAGGACTGCAATTCCTCCAGGCTTTGCCGCCCCCTGGCCCTGGGCTCAAGCAAGGGGAGGGGCTCCCAGAGCAGCACCAAAAGCAGGTCCGGCCCTCTTGAGTCTGTCCAAGGGGTAAAGAGCCACCCAAAACACCTTCCTCCAGACCCTGGCCAGGACCTCAGCACAAACCCTTCTCAGCTGCCTACCCCACTCCTGGGGGTCCCCAAGGGCTGGGAGCCTTGGGGGGAAAGAGGTTAGAATTATCTTCTGAGCAATTCTAATGCGGTCCACACCCTTCTCTGGGGTGGTAGGTTGGGAGGGGGTCACCGGGCCGAGGTCAACTGAAGAAAAGAGGAGCAGACTCTGGTTTCCAAGCCCTCGCTCTCTCCCCTCCTTTGCTTCTGCTCCCATCCCCCCCCCCCCAAAGAAAAATAACAAGGAGAAAAGAGCAGGCCACCACCGGTCTCCCTTCGACGGGGCAGAACGAAGCAAAAGCCAGCCAGGGTTGAACGTTCCAAACGAACCCATCCTCACGATCATACAAGAAGCCCCCCTCCCCAAAACACACGTCCTCTCCTCTCCCTGCGCCATCCTGACTCAGAATTATCCGGAGCAGTTATCAAAGCCCAAACTGGGAAAGGATCTGTAGGCGCCCAGATGCAGATGAGGGTGGCAAAGGGGGTGTCTCGGAAATGCCCAAAATGGGGCTGGAGAGGGCGGGCTGCAGGAGGGGAAGGCAAGAGGTAGGCGTCCATGACGGCCTCCACGCGTGCAAAGTCTCCCCGCGAGCAGCCAGCTCCCAACTTGTTTACTTGTCAGCGTGTTCTGCTGTTTCCAAATGGAATAGTTAAACACCTCGGCTGGATCGCAAGCAGTCCCTATCTGTTACCATCCCTGCCGGCTAAGCGCCACCACTGCCGCCGCCACTGCCGCCGCCTCTGCCAGAGAATCGAACCTCGTCTACTTTATTCCACTTGAGCGTGACCAAACTGTTGCTATTTAGTGGGGGGCAAAAAAAACCCGATTTGCACCCTCGAAATGAGCCAGCAGCGGGTGGGGAAGAGCGAGCGGGAGCTGGGCCCTCCGGGCTCAGCTCTCCAGGGAGGGCCACACACACGCATCGCCGGATCGCGTCTCGCCAAGGCCAGAGTCACCTGGAATGCGCAGCCCAAGAGCATCTCCCGAGCCAGAGCGAGCCTGACGCGCTCCTAGCGGGCAGCAGGCAGCAGCGAGCTGGAGCGGGCAGAGGGCCGGCTCCCGGCTGCGGGCTGCAGGAGGGAGACGCGGAGCGCGGGGGGAGGCGGGCTGGGGAGCGGCCGCCTGACTTACATGGAAGTGATATTCCTTGAGATGTCCGTGATGTTGATGCTGGCGTTCCCATTGCTGTTCCCTGAATCCTGCCCTTCCAGGAGGGGAAAGAGGTTCCCATCGTCCGGCCGCCGGCAATTGATCTCAGTCTTGCTGCAGACACAATTTGCAGGGCAAGCCAGCACGGAGCCCACATAGTCCAGCCAGACGCTTCCCAGCAAGAAAATCCGCCAGAAACTACACTTGGCTGGGCAAAGAGAGACATCCATCTCCGATCGCTGCTTCTAAAAAAGAGGAGGAGGAGAGGAGAGGGGGGTGGGGTGGGGGGAGTGGGGAGAGCAGGGGGGGAAGGAAACAAAGACGGTGAGGGAGGGGGGGAGGGGGAGGGGGGGCCTCTGCCTTTGAAACGCCGAGTGATCAGATGCAAAATCCTTCAGCGTCTGAAACCATCGCGGCCGCCGCTGCCGCCGCCGCCGGGTGGGAGCCGCTAGGAGCGCCTAGTGGCGCGGTCTGCCGGGCATGGTGGCCGGCTCAGCGATCGCTGACTCGCCGGGTACGGGGGCTCTGGAAGCAAGGCACGCTCTCCGACTCCGAGACTTTGCAGGGTTGCAACAGACGGTGGGGAGTCAAAAAAAAAAAAAAAGGAATAGGAAAAAATGGTGCTAAAGTCACCAAGTCCCACCTACTGGGCAGAATTAAAACGGACACCCTACACACCTGCAAAACACACACACACTCACACTCACACATACACACACCCGGAGTCCGAGGAAGGGAAGGGAAGGAAGACGCAGCAGGAGCTGCAGCAGCCGCCGCGAATGGCTCGCCGCGCGGCTGCAGAAATGTACAAGTGCTCCGAGCCTTACGAAACGCACGGGTTATCGGAGCGTCTTCCTCGGCTCCCTCCCTCTCTCCCTCTCTCCCTCTCTCCCTCCCTCCCTCCCTCCCTCCCTTCTCCCCTCCCTCGTCTCGGCCTCCTACCCCCGCCCGGGCTGGGAGCGGCAGGAGAGCGGAATCTCCCCCTCCCTCCCCTCCCCACACCCATCTCTCTCCCCTCCCGTCCTCTCCCTCCTCCCCACCCACCCACCCACCCACTCGCCGGCTCGAGTCTCTAGCCGGCACCACCACCCGCGGCCGCGCGGAAGCCCGCCCACTCCACGCCTCGCAGCTCGGCGCCCGCTCGCTGCAGCCGAGGGGAAACCGAGACCAAAGGGAAAAAGTTGCAGTAGAGATTGCGAGGGTCGAGGCTGGGGAGGGAGAGTTGGCGAGCTGGCTGCGTGACGCGGAAAGGCGCTCTCCTTTCCACTTTTTGGCCCTCACGCTGCCCGGTTTTGCTGCAATCCGGACCGCGGTAGGAAGTGAAATGGACGAGGTGGAGGTGATCGGGGAGCGCTCCCAAGCCTGGGTGGGGGGCGCAGACGACGGGGGTGGGGGCCGGAGCACACAGACACCCCAGAGGAGCACCCAGAGCCCGGGACCGGGACCACAGACGCGCAGTCCTTGGTCTGAATGACACTCGTTTCCGTAATCTAGAGTCTGGGGCACTGGTCTCGGCTGGGAAGGGACTGCAGGGCATGGCACGCTAGGTGCCCCCTGTACCCGCTGCGCCTTCATAGAGGTGGGTTTTGCATTCGGCCTTGAGCAAGCAGGGATGGGGAAGGAAGAAACAAGAGCCGAAAGGGCTGCGCTGGAGAGTCGAGGTGGCCCCGGGCGAGCTGTGCGTGCGAAAGAAACGCCGGGGAAATTGAGATGCAAGGGGCGTATTTTGGCAAGCACCACGCCGACCCCATCACTGGCCGGCTTCTCCGGGCTCAGCTCTCCGGTGCGGTGCGCTGAGCTGGCTTGCCGGGTGAGGGGGTGGGCGGGCTACTTTCTCCGGATTCGGGGGCACAGAACCTCCTCCTTCCCTCCCACACAAGCACCCCTTCCTGGTAGGGACGCAAAGCAGGTGCAGCTTTCGACAGGAGCTCAGATCGCATCTGGGAAAGAATTGGGGGCGTCCCCGTTTTTGCGCTGGTAGGGAATTTTTTCTTAATAAAACATAAAGATGCCAAGTGTGAGCCGTTTGGTGGTGGTGGGGGGAGCATTCGCTGTGGGAAAGGAGAAGAAAGGGTTAGGGGAGTCCGAGCAGGCAAACACACTACAGCATTCACACGCAGAAGAAAGCAGGGCTCTCCTGCCCGGGCTTGGATGAGGGCAGGCGAGGAAGCAAAATACATTTAATTCAACTGCATCCAGTATCTGAAAGGAGTCTCCCCCACCCCCCTGTGGATTCCGATGCAGGTCATGCAACTTGCAGGCAAGATGGGGGAAGGGGTATGCCAGTGTCACCGACTGCCCCAGGCACAGACAGGCTGGGCGCCTTCGGGTGGCACTGTTGCTGGGAGTATAGACTTGGACAAAAAAAAGCAAAGAAAACAACATGCCTATAAAAGGCAGTTTTTCCGACTTCTCGTCACATTCCACCTTCCCTTGGCCTCTGGGAGACTTTTACCCCTGTCGCCATTATGGCCTTGTCCCCAGACTGGCATTTTGCCCTTCCACCAGCAGGAGGGGACAGAGTATGGAGACCTCCTTGGACTCTCAAAGCAGTTGCTACTGGCCCTAGGCCAATCCTTGGTGTCCTTAGGCCCCTGGGAATGTCCCTGTCACTTCTAGTGCCATTCTGGGATTGGCTTTAGAATAGCTGAGAGTCAGAGAACATGAGGTGCAGTCAGATACTCACCCTTGGCCTCTCCTGGGCAGGGAAGGAGGGAGAGGGGGGAGAGGGGGGAGAGAGAGAGAGACAGAGAGAGAGAAAGAGAAAGAGAGACATCCATAAGTCAGAACAACAACAAAAAAAAATCCCTTTAAAAATGCCTCTGGATCCAGTAAAAAATGCAGGTTGTGGAGCAAGGGGTCCTGATAGGTAAGAAGTCTTTCATCCTGACAGTAAAATGGGATTCAGATGGGGTGCTACATTGATCCTCACACTCTGGGCCTGAGCAGGAGGCGGCAGCTGAAAAGGAGGAAAGCCCTTTTGAAAGCAGGTGGCACTTGGACACATAGAGGGGACGACACCCATGGGGGTCTACTGGAGGATGGAAGGTGAGAGGAGGGAGAGGATCAGGAAAACCAGCTTAATGCCTGGTGATGAAATAATCTGTACCACAAACGCCCATGATGCATGTCTATATGTAACAAACCTGCACATCCTGCACACATACCCCTGAGCTTAAAGGTTTAAAAATAAAAAATAAAGCAGGTGATGGACTAGGTGTGGGGAAAAGCAGAATTTCACTTCTAACCACCAGCAAATGACTTAAGCTTTCGGGCACTCAGCTTTCACATCTTTAAAATGACCACATTAAGACTTCAAAATCCAAAGTGTGGCCCTCTGTCCAGCAGCATCTGTGGCCCCACCGCAAACCTCCTAAACGAGAATGTCCCTCAGAACACACTCCCAGGTGACTCATCAGCACATTGCAGCCCCAGAGTCCCTCCCAGCTTAAAGATTCTCTGATTCTACATGGATCTGGGCCAAAGGGACTGTTGAGAGAAAAAAAAAAAAAACAGTGGGGGATGGGATATTTCTCAGAATATTACTCAGGGTGAAATAAACTGGGTGTCTCAGAGGCAGGGGCCTTTTCAGAAACAGACCTTTGAAGTTACACTGCAGCTTAAGAAGGTGAGGAAAATGACCTGCTCACGCACTGCTCACAGAAATCACGGTCCAGGGTCAATGGTAGTGCAAACTCAGAGTTTGCTAGTTCTTAACCTCTGCAGTCAGCCAGATTTAAATGAGGAAGCAGGAGAAAGTCTCCAGCGTAGACACCCTCCCGCTACTCGGTAAGAGTCCGGAGCATTTGCAGTGTCTTATCTCCTGGTAGGAATGTCCCAGTCGACGAGGAAGAATGCCTGTCACATCACGGAGTCCTGGAGAGATCATCATCAAGCGCAGCCTCCAGCCAACCAGGGTTAACCCCCCAACCTCCCCATCTCCTTTGCTACCAGCTGGAGTTTAGAAAGGAGGAAACTCAGCCCCTTGCTGATCAATAATAGGCAGGAATAGGCAGAGTTTTTTGTCTTGTTTCATTTTTTGAACAGAAAGTAGAGCTTTAGAAATCCTTTACAGGTGAGAAGGCTCCTTCCAGTACCAAGGGAGGAGAAGACAGAAATGTTCCCCAGATTCAGATGAGGTATTTCACCAGATAGGTCAGAGTGGGGGCTGCCTGCTGGCGCACAGCGTACCAACTCCTCTGACACCTAGAGAAAGTGAACACATGTCTTTCTTAAAAGACATGTTCCAGGGGTGCACACACCTGAGATTAGTATCAACTGTTTATGGGAGATTTCCAGCAGTCCAAATTCCCCACTATCTAGCAAGGGAGGAAGGGAATGGAAACAGGACGGCCTGTTGATCACCTGTCTGCCTTTCGAAACTAGCCACAGCACTTTTCCCAAAGGACCTGTACTCCTGAGTCAGTGGCCGCATGACTGGGATGTGGGCCAGACCCCAAGAAGATTTGTGGATTCACCCACCATGCCCTGCTCCTATGGTGTCATTCTGAATCCAGGAGCTGTGCAACACAGCTTTCAAGTTCGAGCAGAAATAGGACCTAAGGCTGTAAGTCTCAGCTGGTAGAGGAACATACCGCGTTATGATGGGGAGCACAGGGGGCTACAAAGGGAAGACTAGATCCCTAAGTTCTTGCTGTTCAAAGGGCTATCTGGCTGGCAGGTCTGGGCTTGGGCTAAATGAAGAGACCTGTTTCCTGGGTGGCCCAAGCATAAGATATGAGGGAGAGAGACAGGTTTGGGCCTGGCTGGAGGCTGGGGCTGTATAACGCTATCCAGAAGCTCTGGGTCCAAGGAAAGAATGTTGACCATACATGGAAGATGAAAGCCCACCCACAAAAGGGAAGAGTCGAGCACCAAAGTGGTCCCAGAAAGCAGAAGAATCTAACCACAGGAGGCCCCCCACTCAGGACTCCCACTCAAGCCCAGTATCTTGGACAAACACCTGCCAGGTGGTCAGAACTACCTGCTGGTGGTGGCAGTGAGCTCGGAAGAGAGGGAACCCTCTCATCCCACTTCTATTAAAGAAGATTCCTGGAGATACTGCTAGATTCTCCTGCCCTGCCAGTGTATGGAGGCGGTTCAGGGGTCCTCACCAGTGATGCTGCCCAGGTGACCCTACGCTATTATTCTACTTAACCTGAATGTAGATTCCTAGAGTATCTGGGCTGGAACACACCCCCCAGGTCAACCAATGAAACTCCACATGATGCAGAAATGTCATCAACAGGTGCCTAGTCTGTCCTGCTTGAATACTTTCAGTGTCTGGAAGTTCATTACCAGCCACTCCAGAGCGTTTGACTGTGTTCTCAGAAAGCCCCATTCCTTGGATATCCTTCACTTTGACATAGTGAAGCCAGACTCCTAAAGCTGCCACCCTCGTACTACTGCTGCCACCTAGATCCTCAGGGAAGTCTCACCTCTTTTCTGCAAATCAGCCAGGAGGCTGCCCACCACCCCTCTCCTCTCTAAGCAAAATCTGTTTCTTCCCCATACTTCAGAAGCACAGCTTTCTGTCCTTTTCCCACTACATTCAGGTTTGTCAAAATGACTGGTTTAAATAAAGTGTGGTTCTAAGTCACACAGGCTTCAGGGGCTCTGACCTTGGGGACCCAGGGAGTAAGCAGCTGCAATAGGACTAAAATGGTGTCATGTAGGGTTTACTACCCACTAGTGTCTGAACCCAGCAAGGCACTTAAGTCTCTGTGCCTCAGTTTCCCCTTCTGCAAAACAGGATCTAACTCACAAGGCTGTCATGAGATAACACAATAAGATGCTTTGAAGAGTGCCTGGTGCACAGAAGCATTGTATGTCAACTTCCTTATGCCACTTTTGAGGTTCCCAGAGGGCTTTACCGCCCAGCAGGGAAGCTCCAGCAGCCTTTATCCACTGAC